AAAGTCTAATGTTACAACTAATCATGGATCCCTTTAAAAATGTTTATTTTAGTAAAAGAGACATTTGGACAAATAAAATCCACACTGACTTGATTGAGTTTTATTTTCTTAAAATGATCTTTTCCTGAAAATATTTCTCTCAAATCACTTTTTACCGACTGGAAATTATGACCTTGTGTTTTGACATGTCTGCAGGACACGTCTGCGACTCGTCTTCCTCGCCGCCGCTGGTCTCGGAGGACRGCTGGCGCCGACAGCGTCCTGATGGTGAACTCCATGCTGGACCTGAGACTCCTGGACTCCTACAGCTCCGACGCTCAGCAGAAACCCGAGGAGGTCTGACCTGACTGCACTTTTTAAGATCTGCATCAGTTTTAAACACGAGGTAATCATTAATCCCCCACCTGCCCTGCCCCCACAGCTGAAGGCGTGGCCTCACCCTGACTGGCCTCACCCTGACAACACCTGCAGCCTGAGGAGGCGGAGTCAGCGGGTGGAGCCACTGGTTCATGGGACCAATGAGAAGCTGCAGAGCACCACCAGCCTGCAGGTCTGCTCTGCCTGGGTGAGAAGCTACTTTCTTCTCTGTTGGCAGCACGGTGGAGAAGTGGGCGTCACCATTTCCTCACAACAAGGAAGTCCTGGGATCAAGACCCAGAGACTTTCTGTGTGGACTTTATGTTGTCCTCAAGTTCTCTGGTTTTCTCCCACAGTCTAAAAGCAGATCTGCGGTTACAAAGGTTCAACAAAACTAAAAAAAAAACCACATTTATATTTCTAAAATAGGCTTCTGTGGACAAACTATGAACAATAAATATCTTACCTGCTGTAGATAATTCTCTGATCAGCCCTCTGTTTGTAGAAACTGATTAATTCTGAAGCTAATGGCTTATAGCACAGCTAACATGTTCTGGTTCATGTAAACATGTTTTCATGGTAAGGGGGCACTGACCTGCACACGGACCAAAGATATGAAAARACTAAAAGAACAACTTTTAATGTTTTTTTTTTCAGCCAAAAACAAACAAATACATGAAAGTCTTTTTCTACATGTCTCTAAAACTGGACCATGTTGGACAGGTAAAAGTAGGAGGTCTTTGATCCGTTTAACCAGTTCAAACATGAGGACTGAAGCAGTTCAGAGACCTGTAGCTGCCTGCAGAGGTTACATGCTGTGTTTTGGTTCATGCAGGCAGATGAAGAAGCAAAGAGCAGCCAGAGACCAGACTACATCCAGCTGTCCACCCAGACCCTGAACAGAGAAGACCTGGTCTTGTTTCCAGACCAGTGGGAGGACAGGATGAGCCTGATGGGCAGGTAGGACCTTCTGACATCAATGATCGTGATGCAACATGTTTCACAGGCTCAAGTCAGGCTCAGGTCAGATCAGGTCAGGCTCAGGTCAGATCAGGTCAGGCTCAGGTCAGGCTCAAGTCAGGCTCAGGTCAGGCTCAGGTSAGATCAGGTCAGGCTCAAGTCAGGCTCAGGTCAGGCTCAGATCAGGCTCAGGTCAGGCTCAGGTCAGATCAGGCTCAGATCAGGCTTAGGTCAGGCTCAGATCAGGCTCAGTTCGGGTCAGATCAGGCTCAGGTCAGACTTGTGTCATGTGTCCTGGGTCCTCCTCAGGGTCTCCTCCCAGCTGGACAGGACCATAACTCCTCTTTAGGGGGRCGTCCAACAACCAAACCAGATAAGCTCAGATCCCTCAGAGCACATCAGAGGAAACTCAGAATAAATCTGGAGTTGTGGGGACCAGACTAAGGACAGTCTGTCCCTCTGTGTCAGTGAGTTCCAGGTGAAGGAGGTGTGTCCTTCTGCTGCACCTGGACAGCAGGACAAACCCAGTCCAGACAGCGGCTGCTCTCTGGGCTTCAGCTCCACGTTGTCCAGTCCAGAAAGACCCTCTGGACACGGTAAGACTAAGATGAGACCGATGTCTGACGTGTGAACTCACAGTTTGACCTCAAAGCTTCATGTCTCCATCAGACTCTGAGTCCACTCTCTGCGAGGACAGAGAGTCCTCTGACGTGGAGACAAAGAATGAGGAAGAGGAGGCTGTTCCTGACAGTTTGGACCAGGAGGCCTTCCTGAAGGAGAACTTTGTCACGTTGGCTGACCTGTCTGCCTCAGGTGGGACCACACAGACTTCACTTCCTGTTTACCTGGGCAGCACTAACCCTAAAGCACTAACTTTATTATTTAGGTCCCCTAATTCTAAAGCACTAACACACTTAAAAATGTAGCAAAAGCTAATTCTAAAGCACTAAAAACCCAGCTGACCCATGAAATATTCCTCAGAGTCAACATGAGAATATTTTCTGTGTGCAAAATATTGTTTATATTGTTATATTAATTATTGTTAATATTTTATCTAATGTAGTGGTTCCAAAAGTTGGGGTCAGGACCTCTTTGTGGGTCACAAAACATTAAATGAGGGTCCCCAGATGATTTCCAAACATCTATTTAAATGCAAAATAAAATGCTAATGGATTATTTTCATCATGATTATTGCAATTTTTTAAAATAATCATAAATGACTACAGATTAGTACCATAGTTGTTTGTTTATAGTTATTCCCATGTTTAACAGAGTTATTAGCAAAGTTTGCTACATAAACCAGTAATATCTGGGGTCACAAGTGTCTGCAGCTGTTATTTTGTGGGTCGGAAGTAGGGCTGCCACAAACGATTATTTTTATAGTCGATTAATCACCGATTATTTTTTCGATTAGTTGACTAATCGGATCATACGTTAATTGAATATAAAACATAGAGCTTATCGCCCAGAATGCAGCTGCTATTATATAACCATGGTTAGATTTTAGCTATATGCTAACTAAAAATAATTGCTGTGGAAGGTAAGTTCTGCTCTGCAGATATTACACAGGTTTCTCTTTCATTTTCTTAAAATGATCCCACACTTTGAGCTCTGTTGTCAGGTAGCCATGATACCAGAGCCTGTCTGTATAATGTCTTGTGACGTCCACGGCCTACCCCAGTTRCCACTACTGTGCATGTGTGTCAACGACAGAAAGGTAGACGTGGCAGTGGAAGGTGTCAAAGCAGTTTGGAGAAAAAAAAACAAAGCAATTAACAAAAACAAACAAAAAAATTAGATTATTATTATTAAATTATTAAAATTATTAAATTAAATTATTAAAAAAGATTATTAAATTAGTCATAGACTATTTTAATAATCGATTAGTCGTCGACTAATCGACTAATCGTGGCAGTCCTAGTCGGAAGCAAAAAAGTTTGAAAATCACTGAACCAGTGGAGAAGTGATCGACGTGTGTCAGCTTTCACCCTCAGCTGTTGACAATGATGTTGATGTTAAAGAACTCAGTTAGTGCTTATAAATTTAGCAAGTGCTAATCCACTAATGAATTAAGAAATTAGAAAAAGGCCTAAAGCACTAATCAGGAGTTAGTTCCCCTATTAGTGCTTTAGTGCTTTAGGGGAACTGTGCCCAGCGCTGCCTGACAGGTGAGTGTTTGTGTTGACAGGAGGTCCGAGCAGAACGTCTCACAGCTCCAGTGAGAGTCTCAGCATCTCCTCCAGGTTCCTGGCCCAGAACTCAGCTGGAAGGTAGAACTCTGGGGGGGCGGGGCAGTCTGATCCGGGACGATCCGCTGAGTAATTTTCTCGTCCTTTCTCCCCCAGCCGGACCGGACTCCCTGTAACTGCGTGGCCCGGTGGGGGGGAGGTCAGAGCCCAGCCCCCGGTCTCTGAGGTCCGGCCTCTGATGGATGAGAGCCAGAGCCAGACCTCCTCACCTCAGAACGGATCCCAGGAGACCCCCTCGGTCCAGCCGGCCCCCCAGCACTCACCGCCGATGAAGAAAACCTCAGCGAGGAACCCAGACCTGGTGGTCCACGCTGCTTCTCCACAGCTGAATCCTGGACTCCGGCGGGCCCAGTCGGTCCACAGTCTGGTTGAAACGGGTACCGGTGCCGCAGGTCTCCGGTCCCACCAACAAGACCCCCCGCTGACCCCCTTCTGTCTCGCTCCAGCAGGTGACCCCTCAGGTGCTTCTAAAGAGGCCCGCCCTCAGCGCCCCACCACCCTGCCGTCCTCTCCCCGATGGCCTCCGTCTATGGCTCCGCCCCCTTTAAAGCCCAGCCCCACCTCCCCGCGCTCCCCCCAGCAGGAGAACTGTGCTCTCACGCCTCGGAAGTCCTCCTCGTCCTCGCGCTCCTACATGAGTCCCACAGCCAGCTCCATGGCCAAGATGTCCCGCTCCGTGTCCATCGGCGAGGGTCTTCATGTCCCCGACCCTGCTGAGGATGCTGCGGTGACATCATCAGGACCCCTCCCCTCCTCCTCCTCCTCCTCCTCCTCTCAGGTCAAAGAGCTGACCTCTCCTCGTGTGGCTGTGGTGCACTCCAACATGTCTCTGACCACGCCCCCTCAAGCGGCTGCTCCTCCCACTCGTCTCCAGGCTCGTGTCCCCGGCAGCGGCCGACCTCTKCCAGACAAACCCGTCCTGGACTCCTTCTCCTCCTCCTCCAAGCCTACGGGCTCCTCCTCATCGCTGCCTCCTCCTCCTCAGACACAGGAGGAGCCTGGGACCCCTGCAGGTTTCAGTGCAGACCACACAGAGGACCCAGGTTTGGACTTTCATCCCCTTCCTCCTCTTCTTCTTCATCACTTCATCCTGTCATTCCTCTGGCTCCGCCCCTCCTCCTCCTCCTCCTCTCCTCTCTGAAACGGGTGAGACGTGTCACTCCTGTCGGCCATTTTGTTTACTTTTCCTGAGTCCTTCCTGTTCCTGTTGTTTCTGCAGTCTCCATCGTCTCACATGATCCAGGAAGAAACTCCACCCTCTTAATCCTCGGGACCAGATCCTGATCAGAACCAGATCCTGATCAGGTTTAGAACTTTTGATCAAACTTTATGTGAAGAAAATCAAATTCCATCATGTCATTATTACGCCACAGCAAATTCACCCAGAAGGTCAGACTCTGCAGGTCACAGGTCAGACTGAAGGTCAAAGGTCATACTCTGAAGGTCAAAGGTCAGACTCTGAAGGTCAAAGGTCAGACTCTGCAGGCCTCAGTCAAGTCAAAGGTCAAACTGAAACTAGTTTTTCAGTCTGGTCCAGTTTTTGTTCCATCTGAGTGTTTTTATCCACATGAAGTTTGATTTTAATCAATAAAAACCTGATCATTTGGGACGAGGGTGGACTTTCTCTGACTGTAAACATAAAAACAGTTTTGTTTTTATATAATATGTTCAGATTGTGATGCTTTGTTGTTGAATAATAGAACCATCTGTTTCTGTGCTCAGATCAACCAATCAGCCTGGAGTCCTGCAGAGCTCTGACCAATGAGCTGCAGAGCTGCTTTAAGAGAGCCACTCACCTGTACAGGATGGTGAGGATCCTTTTTTTTTAATTTGTTTTTAGCTTCCTGCCAGGTTAACGAGCATGTTCTTCCTCCAGGTGAGCGGCTCGTCTGTAGATGACTCCGCCCCCCACCAGAGTCAGATGTCTCTCCTCCTATCAGAGGCCTTCCAGGCCATGAGGGCGGAGCTGGACTCTTTGCCGCTCGGTGCACCGAGCATGCTGGGAGGAGTCAGGGAGGAGAAGACAGCAGCTCTGCTGGAGGAGTACTCACTGCTTCTCCTGCAGGCCGTCCACAGGAGGATCAACACCTCCTCCTGACCTCAGGAGAATCAACACCTCCTCCTGAACTCAGGGGGATCAACACCTCCTGACCTCAGGAGTTCCAACACCTCCTCCTGACCTCAGGTGGATCAACACCTCCTCCTGACCTCAGGAGAATCAACACCTCCTCCTGACCTCAGCAGGATCAACACCTCCTCCTAACCTCAGGAGGATCAACACCTCCTCCTGACCTCAGGAAGATCAACACCTCCACCCGACCTCAACAGGATCAACACCTCCTGACCTCAGGAGGATCTCAGGAGGATCAACACCTCCTCCTGACCTCAACAGGATCTCAGGAGGATCAACACCTCCTGACCTCAGGAGGATGACCACCAGCACCTCCATCACCTGACACCTGTCCTTCACTTCTTGTCTGACCTGTTATCAAACTGCCTTTAAAGTGTTTTTTCTGGTCCAGAGAACAACTTGTGATCCTCCTGAGGTCTCACCAGTTCACATGTTCACACATTCACATGTTSAYGCTCATCCTGCACGTTTAYTCCTCACCTCCAGGACCTGAGCACTAAGAAGTCTCACCACCTGGTTTCTGAGCATCATTTGCACGGAGCCGTGCTTTTCTCAGTGTTGGACTCACAAAGAGAAGGACGTCGGCTCTCTGTTGTTCTGGAGCTTCTCTGGACCCAGCACAGAGAAGCTTCATCGATGCTAAAATGAAAACTGGGTTCTTGATTTGTTCCAGACCTGAGTGTGGACCCCTCWGCATGGCTGCATGGGATAATTATCATTTTTAAAATGATGTTWAACCTCTGGATGTGAAGCACTTTTTTGTTAAACGTTTTATAAAAACGCTGTATTTTGTTGGACAGTTAGTGTGTAGATGCAACAAAGCCTGACACTCATCACTGGGACTGAAGAGGAACTTTTCCTGACTTGTCTTCCATCGTTTTTGTACACGGCAGCAGGTTTCTCTCCTCGCGTTTCTTCTCCTAATTGCCACCAGCTCTGAGGAGGCTGTAAATATTTGATGCAAACTTTCCTGCTGGGTCTTTGCGAATCAGGCGCTTTTAGCCCCGATGGAAAGTTTTTTCCTCTAAATGCTGCAGAAAAAAAAACGGCTGAAATGAGGGCGAGCTGCGTCGGCGCAGTTTGAGGCGCACCACTCCCTTTGTGAATCGGACCTGACCTCGATGCACATTCGAAAGAAAACAGGATTAGTTTTTCTTGGAGGCGTGGACTGACTGTTAAACTCTACCTCCTGATCTACAGCCATCTCTAACATCGAAGTGAACTTTTAAAAATCGATTTGCAGCAACTGAATCATGGATTTTTGGATTATTTTCCCCCATCATTTTTTTAAGGTGGACTGGTTGAACTGTGAGCCGGATTAAACAGAAGATGGATGGAGGGTTTGTGTTTTTGCTCGTCGTAGTTGTTAGTTTGGAAAAAAGAGACTTTTATAACAAAGAGCAATATGAGACTTTGTGAACAAACTTGACTTTCCTTGTTTTATTTGATTTTAATGTTCTTCCACTTGAATCTGAAATGTTCAGCATGACTGGTTTCTGCTGATTTTTATAAAGTGATCAGTTTTTGTATTTATTGTGTTGAGCTGTTACACTACTGATCAAATCATGTTTTCCTAAGTCTTATTTTTGAGCCTTAACGCACATTTTAATAACCTTTTTCCAGAACACTGGGTGAGTGGAGGCTTATTGGGTTCAATTTGASAAATTTGATCGCAAAGGTTCTGTTTGGAATGTTTTTGTCACATTTAATAAAGTTTCACATTTTGTCTGATAAATGTATTTTTTCTTCCTGTGACTTCAGCGATGAACCATCTGAACCTTTATGTAAATATTTGAACAATAAACTGTATTTGTGTGGCAAAATGGTAGCTAAAGCATAAAGACTAGCTGAAACCTAAACAAAAGGCTAGTTAAAAGTAAAAAATAGCAAAAGGTATCTTTAAGTAGCAGAAAGCTAGCTAAAAGTGTCAAAAGATAAAAGTTTAAAAAGCCAAAATATAAAACCAGTTTGCTAAAACGAAGGGAACTGATG